AAGGAGGAGGCTGCAATGCTTGATAAGAAATGTACTCATTATCTTGCCCATGTAATTGTAACCCCTCTGTACAGTATGTTCACAAAAAATTAAAATTAAAAAAAAAACATTAGGTATTGATAGCTCTCAAACAGATGTGGTAAGCATTGTTCAGTGGTTTCTTCATAATATTTGTGAAGACTTCCAATCCAAGAAAAGTATTCATAAGTAGACAAGTTGTCTTGAGAGGGAGATGGCTGAAGGAAGTCTAGAATTGAAGACAGAGGGATATGCTGCATGATCTCCTCTTGTCATGTGTAAACATTACAGTGGCTACAACTCAGAAATATGTTCATGGCCTTTCCTTTTACCTCAGGAGTAATGTTCTTCCAGGGCAAACATCGTTATTAAACTTAGTAAATCCTAATTAGAGGACATTTCTTTTGCTTGGAAATTGTTTTTTCAGCTTTCTAAGTTAAGGATCAGTCAGGTAATATTCTCTTTAGTCAAGGAGAGATTATACTACTTTAATGTGACAAGAGCTTGGGCATTCATGTATATTGTCTTCCTTCAGATGCATACCATGAAATTCATCTCATCTTTTGCTCTCATTAACTATCTTGTCCGAGGTTCTCTGCAATCACTGTGCCCTAAGCTCTAGGCATAAATGTTTAATCAGTTGCACAGAAAACTTTTCTCCTGAAATAAACTCTTTCAGGTTCTTTGCAGATGCTTTTTTGGTCCCTACTTAGTTGATGTATGTGGAGGTATCTTGTTTGGGGTGGAATGGTTGATAACTAGACCTATTTTCTTGGTGAGTCACTGTGATCCATGCCTCGACACCCATCAACAACCTGTGCAGCAGGCAGCCAGATGAGGTAAATGGTGCTGCTCTGTCCTCCTTGTTCTTGTTTTGCAGGACACGTAGGTCCTATTGAAGTGGAGGCTCATTAAGCTCCAAGTCAAAAGAATTATGCCCTACAGCAACCATGGTATTCTCTCATTCAGAACTTCCTGACCCCCTACCAATTTAACCTCACTGGAGAGTTTCCACTGATGCCTGGCATATTCTCTCACAAGGCTGAGGGCAGCACAGACTTCTGACTGGCTGCAGTCTTATGAGAATCCAGCATTGAAGCCATCGCTTGGGTAATTGTTTCAAGAATGGTGGGAAAATGGGCTTGGCAAGATCAAAGAGGAAAGATGCTGCGGGTGGGCTGCTAGTGAGTTGAGTGCACTGGAAGCAACAGAGCAGGAAGAAAGAGTACTGGCAGA